AATACTTTACAGGGAAAGAATATGGAAATCAGAATTAACTAAAAAATTTCCGAACTTTTTTAATTATTTCTCCGAGTGCAAAATTTGTTTTATAAAAAGATTTTCAAATAAATTTTAAAGAAAAAGTATATTAAAGAAATAGTCTTAATTTAATTTTTTTGTAACTTCCTCGAAGGAATGAGATGTTGAAATTTAAGTCGCAGAGATCCTGTCGAAATAAAAAGATAAATTTTCGGGGTCGGTAAGCGGGATGGTGGGATACCTTGTTTGACATTAGGGATGTTCCCCGACGGAGGTGGGGGACGGGGACGGGGTAAAACTCTATTTAACACTACTCAAGTTTATATTGACAAATTTAGTGTATAAAATATTTTTTTTTTATTAATTAATTTTTTATAAAAACATTTTCTATGTCAGCCAAAACATTTAATAATTACAATAACAATTTTTTGTTTAAAAAAATTTAATAAAAACTATTCAGACTTTCTCACAAAAATATAAATTTTAAAGAAAATGGCAAAATAAATAAATATATTCCAAAATTCCCACCAAACATATTATGACCTTTACTTTTGAATTTTAATGAAAAAATATTTGAAAAATATTGAAAAGTTTGACGTTTTTATTTAAAAAAGAGGAGGCGGGAGGAGTGGGTTTTATTAGAATTAAAAAATAAAAAGTTTAATTTTGGGTGGCATTTGTAAAGAGTGAGTGGGTGGTAGGTAGGTACTTTTTGTGGACAGTGTTTGCGCATAATTTGTTTCCACGAAAGAAATTTGTGTATTTTCAGAAATATCTACTGCCACAAAAAAGTGTCCTCTTCCTTTACAAGGCCAATTTTTGCTATAATAATTTTATTTGCCTTAAAAATAAACAAATAAACAATAAATATTTAAACAAAACAAAGTAATTGAGAATTAAAGTTTTCAATAAAATATTCCAAATATTTTAAATTTTCTAAATTTCTTTTAATTTAAATAAATAAATATATTTAACTCGCGCAAATATTTTAAAAACATTCCATCGGACAAAATATTTTAATTCCCTTCTTTTGCCAAGTATATGGTGAAAAAGGAAGAAAATAAGCGGTCAGTAAAATTTATAAAATTATTTTTAAAAATATTATACACTACAAACAGCTGACTTAGAAATGAAAGAGAGGGAGGTTGTTGAAAGTTTTTTTTGTGAAAAAAAATTCTAAAAGTGCTTTTTGTCGGTCAAAAGTGCATAAGCGCAAAATAAGTAGAAGGGATATATATTAGTACATAAATGGGTGGATATATGTATATATATAGTCTTGTAAGGCAAAAAAAGAAAAGCAGGAAGAAGAAAATGAAAAGAAATAATAATAGATTAGCCAAAATGCCAATATATAAAGTGATGGCTAGACTTTAAGACAAAAATAAACAAATTTATGAAAATATTTTTTAAAGAAAAAAAAACAAAAATAAAGGAAGGAAAAAAAGAGAAAATAAATATTTCCTTATTTAAATTCTAAACATTTTGACACTTGGCTATTACCCTCTCTTTCACATAAATATTTTTTTATTTATAACCAGCTGACCGCCTTTACTATTACCCAACTAAAAGTAGACAGACAAGAAAAAGAAAAATAAAATAAAAATTGTTTTTAGCTTCCGTTGGTCACTCAAAAAGGACTGAGAGACTTTAAAAAATATTTTTTTCTTTTCAATTCTCTTTCAAAGCCAAACAAACAAATTTTATATTTAAGCTAATGTTTGGAGTTAAAAGTGGATGAAAAAAGCACGTTGTTTTGAAATAAATAACTAAATAATTATTTTAAGAAAATATTAGAATAACCAAAAAAAATCAGAAAAATTCTTATAAAAGTTCAAATAAAGTACATTTATAAAAATAATCCAAAAATAATTTTATTTTAAATGTTAATCCAAAATAATGTTAAAATCATTATCCACATACTTCCTTTTTTTAATGGAAATATTTTTAAAAACAAAGTTTTATTTTTAATTAAAAGAAATTTATTATACGAATTATTTTACATATGTCCTTATATACATACATATAAGCTTTTTTTACTTATTCAAATCCTAAAAAGTTTTTTTTACAAAAGTATCACTGATTAATATTTTAAATTCTTTTAATTTCCAAATAATTTATAAAAATGGAAAAAAAGTAAAAAAATAAAGTTAAGGATAAATAAGGAACGCGAAAAGATTAAAAAAATGTTTTTCATTAAGTTTTTACGTTCACAATTTGGAAAGGAATCTTAATCAACAACAAAAACAATCTATTTTTAAAAATAATTATTTTTATAAATGATATACTAAATAGTAATTCTAATAAATAAATTTCTTAGAATTTTTAAAAAAGCAAAAGAATAAAAGGAAATATTTGAAAAAATCAGTTAATGATACTAAATTCATATATAAATTTTGGGTTTCTTTGATGGATAACATAAAATTTAGAGAATCAACATTAATTTAAATACTAAAAATTTAAATTTAAAGATATAATTATTAAAATAAAAAAAAATAAATAAACAAACATATCTGCTATAAAAAAATTTTCAAGTTAAGTGACCTGTAAATAAATAATAAATAAATATAGTTATTAGAATGCACTTTAAAATAAAAGTCTCTACTAATTTAAGAAATATGCGTGATTCAAATAAAATAATAATTATTTTGTTTTTTTTTATTTTCATAATTTATTTATAAATGTTTTTGAGTAAAATATATTTCTGTTTTTGTTTTTAATATATATTACTATTTTTCTACTTGGAAAACGAGTGCCGAAAATAACTAAAAAATATATTGGGGGTGGAAATAAATGGAAGAAGTTAATTTATTTATTTTTATATTACGTATATTTGTTTTTATTAAATAATTAATCAAGTAAATAAATATATTTAAAAATAATGAAAAAATAATTAATGTTTTTTAAATAAAATAGGAAATACTAGAAATTTAGAAATATTGGGGGTAAAACATAAAATTTAGAAAAATATTTAAAAAAAAATAATAGCTTTTAAGATCAGACGTTATTTAAAACTAAAATATATTAATTAAATAAAATAATAAATAAGTAAAGATTTCAGACAATTTTTAAAAAATGTGAGAATTAATTTAAATTTAAAAAATATTTTAAATAAAAAAAGGTCTTCGAATTAAATTTAAGTTTGCGTGTGAATTATTTGAAAAATAAAAGAAAACGATGATGATCATCAATTTTATACAATTCTTTGCATATTGAGAGATAAAAGAAAAAGCAAAAAGAATAAAATAAAATTTTAATAAAATTTAAAATTATTGTAAAAAAGAAGGAAAAGCACTCAATTAAAAAAAAAAAGCTCCACAATAAATGTGTAAGGACAAAGATTAAATAAATTAAAACATAAAAATTATTCTCATAAATTTTTTTACAATAAATAGTAGAAGCAAATGATTTCCGGTTGCGTAAGTTTTTATGTTTGTGGTATTTATTTAAAGTATTTAAAATTAATAAAATGTATACGGACAAAGATCTTTATTTAACTTTAACCTTTGGAGGCTTAAAATAAAAGATGTACATAAATTGGAGGAGCATCGCTCAGGCACCTCGTCATATTTATTTGTTATTATTAAAATCGAAATTCGAAAAAATTTATAAAATTTCAAAGCAAAATTTTATTTATATTAACCTAAATCAGAAGTAAATTAATTTAAGAATGAATATTTTATTTCTGCAAATAATTCTCTAATTTGTTAATAAATATATATTTATTTAAATATTAATTTATTTAATTAAAAAATAATTTTATTTTAAAAAACATTTTAAATTTCAAAGATGACAGAGTAAAAAAGAAGCCGAAAAGGGGAAATGAATGAATATCGTTGTTTAAATATTTTTTATAATAAATTTTAATCAGACAAAAAAATATTTTGTATTTTTTATTTTAAATATTTTCTTTAACCTTTATCTTATTTTTCAAAGTTTGTTGCTATAGTATCAACAAGAAATATTAATTTGTCATTAAAAAGCTAGGATTTGTAAATAAATTTGTAAATTTATGACGAACTTTGATCGAATTTTTGGAAAAATAAATTACATCAGCAACGGAAAAAATAAAAACATTTTATTTGTGAGAGTGTTTAAATTCTTCTCAGTTTTAATTAGAGTTGGCCGGTATTGGGATTCCAACATAAAACCGGGACGGGATTTTGGGATAGTGACACCGATCCCGATCCAATTGCGCAGGCTGAGACTTTATCTCGTACTCGATCGCACAGTCCAAAACGAGCGAAAATTATACAAAATGTTGTTATTAATCTTAAACCTATTAGTTGTTAATAAAAATTTTAATTTTAAAATTTAGTGGGCCGACCGCAATAAATTGGAAGAAATAAAATGATATGTATGCATATATGTATATTAATTTTGAATTTATATTTCTGAAATTTTATTTTGAACATTCAGATAATACTTTAAATTGTATGAAAGAATGGAATTAATAAAAATGTTTGATCAATAAGTATCTAAATACTTTTTAATTATAAATTATAAATATATTTTTACTATTGTTAAATTAAATAAATTTTTTGTAAATATTTATTTAATTAAAAAATAATTCTATTAAAAAACATTTTAAACTCAAAGATAACAAAGTCTCAAAGATAATCTCAAAGATAAAAAAATCGTAAAATTACAAAGAAATATTATGATATTTAAAGTTTTTTTTAATTAATGACAGTCTTAATCAAATTCACTCTCACATAAATAAACTTTTAAGATTTGGATCTAGATATATTTATCCCACATTAACAACTCTTTTTTCTAACAAAGAAATAATGTAAATTCGAAAACGTAATTATTTATTTAAAAATTATTTTAAAAATTATATAAATTTATTTATTAATAAAAAACAAAGAAATACATTAAATTTTAGTTATACAAAATTAAAATATAAAATAAAAAGTCTAAAATAATTGAAAAAGCTCTTAAATTGGCAATATCTGACAGTCTCTCTATTTAATTTAAATTTATTTTTCTTTAAAATCTTTAATTGATTTCTCCATTTTTTGTCGATGTGCAATTCTTGTAACCCCCAAAGCTGTATATTTTGAACGATCAAAATATAATAGATCAATTCCTTTAATTTCACAAAATGATGAACAATGTTCTGACAATTCTAAATATTCAAGCCATTCACAAACATCCAAACAAGTCCATTCTTTTATTGCTTTCTTTAAAAATAATTAATTAAATAAATTAATTTAATTAAATTAATTTTTACTTGTTTAAATTCTCCACTATTTTGTTTTTTAAATTCAATTTCTTCTTTAATAGAAGATTCTAAAAAATAATTTTATAAAAAATGAAATATTTCAAAAAATTTACTACTAATTATTTCTTTTCCTTCTTTAGGAGTAGATTGGTTAGAAGAAGAAGAAGGTTGTTGTTCTTCTACTAAATGATTATTTGAATTTATAGAAGAATTTTCTGATTGGTCATCATAATCTACAGCTGGTATTCGCAAAAAAGAGCCGATACTGTTGTTGTCTCTTTCAGGGCAAAACTGAAAATAAAAAGGAAAGAATTTTGGAAATTTTCAAATTATTCTCAACAAAAAATTAATTAAAAAGGCCTTCAAAATATTTTTTCCTTACAGATTTATTATTATTTCCTGTTAACAAAGGTGATTGTGTCGATGTTTGTTGATCAATTAATTGTTGACTCAAAACATTAACCCTGTGTTTAACAGGTAAAGAATGTTGTGTATTAACTAAAGAAGATGCTACAATTGTTGCCCCATTTCCATTATTATTTTCACAATCTCCACATTCACTAGGCTCTAAAGATGTTCTCGAAGAAGTATATCTTTTTTTAGATATTAAATTATAGAAGAAAATATTTTTTCAAATTTTACCCGCTATCCTTTTTTGTTCCAATAAATCCTCCTGGTGGGGAATGTGAAGAAGTATTTGATGTCATTTTACCTCCAACATGTCCACATTTAGCTGCAGCACCACTAACATTTTCTAAAACAGATTCACGAAGACTAAGACCTCCATTATATCGACTAATAATTAAAAAATTTTAATATAAAATAAACATTAGGAGGAATTTTAGTGGGGTACTCCAAAGACAAAAAAGGTTAATGCAAGTGATCAGACTGAGACGAGATCTAGAGAAAATTTCGATCATCTGGAATCGAGATTATTCGAGATATCGATCTCGATTCCCGTGTGACACTCCCAGAACCGTTCACTAGTTAATACGCAACTACATATATCTAAATACCTCTTTAGCTTACTAGAAACATTTTTAAAATTATTACCCAGTTAATATTCCTCCTCCTCCTCCTCCATTATTATTTATTCCTCCATTTCCAACATTTTGTTGTTGTTGTCCTTTTCCATTATTATTTTCAATATTATTAACAACAATTTTATTATTCTTTAAATTATTATCTTCATTTCCACTTCCTCCACTTTCACTTGTTTCTTCAACAATTCTTACTTTTGAACGTCTTCTAGCTAAAGCAGAACGTAAATCAGAATTAAAATCTATTGGAGGGGCTATTTTTCCTCCTTCATTTCCTTCATTTAAAGAAGTTTTTAAATTTTGTTGAATATTTTTATTTTCGTTTTTTGTCGGGGAAGTTTGCTTAACAGGTCTTAAACGAACAGAGCGAAGTGTTTCAGCACTTATTCCACTAGCTGGGGCAGGATTTGTAGTTTCTGGTTGCTTTTTTGGTTGTAAAGGTTTAGTAGGTGCTATTGAAGATGTACTTGGTTGTGAATGTTTTTGTAATAAATTAATAGGGGGTGGGGGTGGAGGGGCTGGTGGTCCTCCTCCTAAAAATATTATTTGTTTAAAAAATAAATTTCTAAATTAATTACCAGATTTATTATTTTGTTGGGGCAAAGAAGGAACAACAACAACAGTAGAGGCATAAATTGGAGCAGAAGTATTATTATTATTAGAATTTTGTGAAGGAAGTTGTGAAGGAGGAGGAGGTAATTGTTGTTGTTCTTGTTCTTCTGTTCCTCGCAAATTAATAGAATTTTTCCACAAACTTTGGGGAGGCGGGGGAGGGGGAGTTTTTGGTCTTAAAATTATTTTGTTTTTATTTTCAGAATAAATATTATTTTCATTTCCTTCGGCTGCTTGTAAATCTGGTGTTGAAATTGAACTTTTCATTAATTGATTTTGATCATTATTATTTGAATTTGAATTACGAACACTTTGTTGTTTACGTCTTTTCATTTCAGCTACTTTAAATTTGAAAAAAAATTTTCTTTAATTACACTAAGTCCCTATATATTTATTTTACCTGAAGTAAACTTTTTTGGTAATCCAACATTATTATTTTGTTGTTCAACAATTTGTTGTTTTTGTTGATTATTATTATCAGAAGAATTACTACTTCCTTGTTGTACCATTAAATGCTCTAATTCTGCAGCAGAAATACGTCGAACAGATTTAGTTAATTTAACAGAAGCACAACGAGTTTGTTGTTCCATTGGTACAAAAGTTAATTGTTGTTGAGGAAAAGTAACAGAAGAATTTGGGAGAACATCACAAGGAAGTGTTGAATTATTTGGAGAATAATTGTGGACATCTACTGCTACAGAAATATTTTTTAAAAAATTAAAAAATATTTTCTTTTACCAGCAGTAAATTGTGAAGCTGCAAATGAACGTCGACCAAAAGAAAGAGTTGTTGATGGATCACGTTGTGGAGGGGGAGGAGGCGGAGGGGGCAAATTTGTTGGATTTTCTACTGTAGATGAACCGTTAAGTCTTGGCACTAAAGTTTAATTTTAATTATTCTATGGCCTTTATTAATTTTTAGAAATTAAACATTTATTAAATAATGTAAGAGTTAATTCTCTAGATTTTGAAGTCTATCATAATTTTTTAAATTTAATTGAGATAATTTTACCAGAATGATTTCTTCTCCCAACAGTTGCATAATTAATACCCGAACTACTAGCATATATTTGTTGTTGTAAATGTTGAGTATTTTGTAATTGTTGTTCTCTTGCCAAAAGATCAACATCTATTGTCACAACTTTTAACTAAAATATTTTTTCTTAATTTTTTCTCTAAAATTTTATTTTTTAACTGTAATTGTATCTCCACATTGATGTATTAATTCAACAACTTGTTCATGACTTGCTGCCCTAACATCCACTCCATTAATTTCAAGTAAAAAATCTCCAGGTCTAAGACCAGCGCGCATTGCCATTCCTTGCATATCTACACCTTCAAAGAATTGAAGTGCTGGAATTGTTAATGTTGGACGAAAATCTAATTGCATTGAATCTGCATCTGAAATAGCATTAATAAGAGAATATTTCCTAAAAAAATCTTTACATCTAGCTCCACGCAGAATAAATCCAAAACCTTTAGGCCCTCTTGGAATAACTAAAATACGTGGAGTATTTGGTTCAAATCCCGGCTGTTGATGTTGAACTGTATTTGCAGGGATTCTTCTTAAAGTTCCATATTCGCTTGTTGAGCTCGTCATAGACGGGGTTTGATTATTTATTGGATTAATCTTTAAAAATAAAAAAAAATATATTTAAAAATACTATAAAATAATTACTTGTTGTTGTTCTTGAAGTTGTTGATTAACATTAACAGAAGAATATCTATGTGGATGGCTAGAAGCAATTGTAGAGGAAGAAGAACAATGTGAAAGTGAACGTCTTCGAGACATGCTAATAATACTTCCATCTTGGGATTGACGGGTAGAAAGTCGACGTCGAGTGTTAAGTCTTGGAGGTTCAAGGAAAGGAACTAAAAAGTAAAATTTTTAAAAATATCAGATAAAGTCAAGTCTCTTTTTAAATTTTGATTTTAAAATTTATGTATTTTAAACCTCCTCCTCTTATATTTAATAAATTATTATTATGTTGTATTAATCCATAATAACAAATTGGTTGATAATTATTGTTAAGATAAGATAAAGAATTATTATTTGATGAGAGAAAAACAAACATTGAGGAAGTAGTAGAGGAATTGGAAGAATTTAAATGTTGTTGCCAGTAAGGCAAATGAGAGGGGAGAAATGAGGGGGAGATATATGGAGAAGAGGAGGAAAACATAATTAATGATAAATCCTTATAAAGATTTAATTTTATAAGTAATTTATATGGGATAACCAAAAATAATTATTTAAAGAAAATGGTGTCACTTCCATCCAGAAAATTTGTGTTTTAGAGGGAACACAAAGTGCTAACTTAATTAAAGTGGACAGTCAGTCAACACAACTAAATCTACTAAAATATCCCAATAAATGTTAATTTTTAGATACACATTCATGTACTCTCTCTCTACATATTATAAACACTTTTTTAACAAAAATAAATTTATTTTCACCCAAATTTACTTAAAAATAAATTTCTTCTCTTTCTCATTCGGTGAATTAGTGGGGGCTGTTCGGCTTACTTGCTTTTGCACTAATTAATCCAATTTTCCTCAAATCATGGCTACTAACAAAAAATAAGAGAAAATTAGAGATTGAAGGAACGTCATTAATCCGCGCAAAGATTTCTTTAAAAAAAGTAATGGAATAAAATAAATGAACAAAAAATTTTGTCGCGGCACCGGAAAATCGGCTGAAGAAAAATTATTGAAGTAGTAGGAAGAAAATTTTATTTTTGTAAAAAGTATTGGAAAACGAGAAGAGTTTTGGGGAAGTACAAGTAAATTAAAAGTAAATAATTTAAATAAAAATTTAATTTAATAAAATTATTTTTTTTAATTAAATTTTAAAAATTAAATAATTATTTTTTTAAATAAGAAAACGGATATTTCTCATAAAATCACAACTAATTAGATCTCTCTTTATTTTTGATTGGTCATTAAAATAGAATTTTGGAATAATTATTTAGTGGAACACGGAGATGGCATAAAAAATAAATTGGGGAAAATTAATAAAAATCAAGGATCTGGAAATAAATAGTGTCAAATTAAAAGTGAGAGATTGACATAATTAATAATTCAATTATTAAAGCAAAAAGAGGATGTACATAAAAATTTAAAAATATTTTTAAAAATTAATTTAAAAAAATTATTTCGGTGGAAAATTAATGAAAAATAATCCTAAAAATTTATAAAAAAAAACTTTGGATTGGCTTTTGAACAATTTTAAAAATAAAAAAATAATTTTCCTTACCAACACTCTGAGGGGAATGACCAAGAATAACATTAGCTACAGCCATATTCCCAACAATTTGGGCAACTTGTACAGCAGTTTGATTATTTCCATTAATTAAAGAAGGATCAGCACCTCTATATAACAATAATTGAGCACATTCTACACGTCCATTGACTGCACAAACGTGAAGGGGAGTATTCCCGTTAATATTACGGGCATCTATATTTGCCCCATAATAAATTAATTGTTCTGTATGTTTACAAAGTCCGTTTTTACAAGCCTTTAAAAATAAATTTTTGGAAAAAAATTTTGAAAATATTGCCTGATGTAATGCTGTATTTCCATGCATATCAACAATATCCAAATCAGCTGCCTCAGCTAACAACATTTCTGTCACTTCTGCATTAGATTCAGCATTAAGCATATTATAATAAAGAGGCTAAAAAATAAGTAAAGAAAATAAACATTAATTTAAAAGAAAAAACATTAATTAACAACAAAAACACTAACAGTTAATCCAATTAAATCTTTATAATTTGGAGAAGCACCCAATTCAAGCAAAACACGAACATTTTCAGCAACAGAGAGAAATGCTGCTTTATGCATTCCTGTCTATAATTTTTAATATAAAAAATTAGTAAAATAAAAACTGATTTTTTGATTAAATTAGAGTTTGAAAAGATAACTCTTTAAATTCAAAATAAGGAGGTTAGATATCTCTCCTAAGCCTGACTGTCTTTAAAATAATTTAAGAGTTATAAATATCCTTTCAAACATACAATAAAACATTCATTTACCTGCCCCTCAGTATTTCTAAAATCTAAATGAGCACCACCACCAACCAACTGAACAATTACTTGCTGACTTCCAGGAATACCAGAAGCCAAAGTAAGGGGAGTTTCTCCATGGGAATCGTGAAAGTTTGGATCCAATCCTTGTTGACATAAACGATCCAATTTTTGAATATTTTTATTTTGTACAGCCTCAGAGAATTTACGTAAATTACTTTTTGAGTGGACAGAACGAAGTGTTTTTTCATCTAATCGTAACATTTTATAGACCCTTTTCTTGAATTTTAACTGAAATTTAAATAAAATTAAGAACAAATATCAACAGGAAAACACCTCAACATAAGGAGCACAATCATGAAAAGGATAATCACGTAAAGGTCTATCATCTAACAAAAATTTGCCAGCCCTTCCATCACAGGGGGGAAGAAAAAGTCCATAATTAAAATACTGATTTAATTGTTGAGGTAATGATTCAAATAAACGCTGTTTTATATCCCAAACAAATTCATCTAATGGCACTGACAAACATTTCTATAAATATATTTAAAGGAATATAGATTTAATGTTTTGTGTTTGGAAGCTATTATCTAAATTAATACTTGCAATCTGTTTACAAGTACGAGAAACATCCAATTGCTTACGAATTTTACAAACTTCACAAGGCTCTTTACTTTTTGCTTTTTCGCTTTAGGTTTTGTTATGAGGTTGGCTGATCCTGAGAAATCCCTGAATATCCGGATCCGAAATCCGCAACGAAAATTTCTGGATATCCTGTCTTTTTTCGGAACCGGATATCCGGATCAGCCCAGCTTAATATGTATGTTACACATAATTATGTATATATTTATAGTACATAGATATTATATTTTTTGCTTCTTAGGTTAAAGAATCCAGGTTTTTTATTATTTAAATAAGCAAAGAAATATAATATACATCTGGCTAAAGATTAGAATTAAAGTAAAAATAAAAAGTTAGTACATTAATAATCAAACAATTATTTACTCAAAGTATATTTTTAAATTATTATTATTTTTGCATTTTAAATATAATTTTTTCTTCTAAAAAATAAACAAAGGTTAAAGCAAAATAAAGGAATACTATTCAAGTTCACGGTTACCTCAAAAATGCTACACACAAAGCACTTTTAATATAAGCAGAGAAAATTAGATAAAATTTCGTAAAAATGTGCAAAAAACTAAAAAAAGGAGACTAAAACTTAATTAAAGTTTAAAAGAAAATATTAGCTAATATTTAAAAAATTTCTTTTCTTTTTTATTTTAATTTTTAAAAGGTTAAAAATAACATAAAATTGTTGCTTATAATAAAGGAGGAAAATAAATAATTTGTACTATAAGAATTTCCAGAATATAAATATATTTAGTTGGTTGTTGTTGTTGATTAACTTAAATTTATGAGTAAGCCCTCCGGCGACCAAAAGCAATGAAAAAAATACATAGTATTAATTGGAGGTATTTGGGAAGGAGGAATGAAAAAAATGAGGAAAAAAGGAGAGGAAAAATAAATAAGATACATATATCATTACAACATAGCAAGTACAAAACACTTGATTGGTGGCCGAAAGAATTAATTTATAATACCACACAAAAAGTCGAAAAAAATTGAGTAAAGAATGATACTATTTAAAACACTCTAGGTAAGTTTAAAATAAATAAATAAATTTATAGAAAATCTAGAAGAATTTTAAAAAAGAAAGGAAGACTAAAGGCCTGAAAGTGGACTCACTTTCAGGCTTTTTGTCAGTCAGAAAAATTCTTTTTACGGCTATTTAGTCTCATTAAAGCTATTAATTAAAATAAGTAAACAATTGACTCTCAAATACCGATTTAAGGGTTTGAAATCCTTTTTTGAGAATTTTTTTACTTTAAATTAAAAATTAAAAGTATTATTCCCATATATTTTTTTCAAAAAAAATTTTTTTTACCTGCATTTGAAGTTCGGGAACAAAAATTTGTAAATTTATAGGTCCATCATTTACACCCAAAGTAGAGGCTGTATCCGTTCCAGCAGCCATTTGCATAATTCTCTGATTTTCTATTGTACTTAGAGAATCATCGGCCGTCCCTGTTTGTAATGACAATGAGGGAGATTCGCTACCAGAGGATGAAAATGATGAATCAATGGCTAAAGAAGAAGGGATTGTTGTTGTTGTTGCGAGAGGAGGAAGAAGATTGTTATTAGCAAGTCCAACACCGGAAACAGCCGCCGAATTGAGGGCTGCCGTAAATGAGTGGGAATGTGGAGGATTTTGTTGTTGTTGTTGTGAGTGCATTCAAAAATAAAAAGAGAATTATAATTGAATAAGTTGAATTGAATTTAAATTAAGTAGATAAATTTAGTCTAAAAAATTAGTGAAAATTTATTTATTTAAAAGGAAATAAAAATTAAAAATATTCAAAATCTGACATTAATTTAAATAAATATATACAGAATTTTTAGATTTTTTTATTTGAAATTTATTTATAATTATTTTAGTAAAAGTTTTGGAATTTATTGAATAAAAAAAAGAATAATTAGAGAAAAAGCTACTTAATAGTAGAAAAAGGGTTAAAGAATTAAAACAAAAATATTTTTTTTATTTAATGAGAAAGATCCGAATAAACTGATAAGGTGTTGGGAAAGAAAATAAAAAAGGAAAACAAAAGATAAATTAATAGAAAAAATTCTCTTCTAGGATTAGAAAAAAAAATATTAAAAAAAACTATTATTAAGTTGTATTTTTATTAGATATGTAAATAAAAAAATTTATTCCAAATTTCTAATATTTATTTTAATTTCCAAATAAAAACACCTAAAAATTATTTAAAATAAATTTAAAGATTTTTGCGCATTACAGAAACGAACGGGGAAATAAATAATAAATTAATTCAAAATATTTATTTGTGCGGGAAAAGGGAAAATAAAATGACTGAAACACTCTGACTTTTCAAAAAAACGATAAAAATCTGTTTCTGAAGGAATATTTTTGAGGAACTGAAAAAAATATTAAAAATATTTTTTTAGTTTAAATTATTAAATAAAAATAAATAAATAATAATTATTTTAAAAGAAAAAAGTTTTACAATTTTATTTATTTATTTCCTTCTTTAATATGTAGATTAGATATTAAAGATTATGTATTGTAAATTATTAAATATTTATTATGTGAAAGTAAATAAAAAACAAAAAAAAAGATTTTTTTTAATCATTTATATTTTATTTATTTAAAATAAAAAATTAAATTAATTAAATATATTAAAGTATTTTTGTTTAAATTTTTGGTTTAAAAATGTGAAGATATTAATAATAAATATATATTTTAATTATTTAAATAATTAAAATATTTATTTAATTAAATAATTATTTTTTAGTCTTTCTCTCTTTCAATTAAAAAGCTCTCCATTAATGACGGTTGTTGCCTGCCCAGGTTTACAATTACCAGAATTTTTTTGCGATAAAAAAAAGCAAAGGTAGTAAAATAATATTTATTTATATATTTATTATCAACACGCGCCTATAAAATTAAAAAAAAGCCGCTCGTTTAAAGAATAAGAGAATATATTTCGGCTAATTTTGGACGGGGAATATATTAAAAGATTAATTAATTTTTTTATTAAACAAAACAAAAATATGTTTCGGGAAAAAAGATTTTAAGATGTGGGTGGCAATAATTGTTGCATTTTTTGGGGGATTTGGGTATGAAAAGGGGTTTTAATTGTGTTTAAATTTTAAAATTAATTAGAAAAAAATTTTGTTTTGTATTTTTAATTTTAAATTTATTTTCTAAAATATAAAAAACGATTAAAATACTTGTAACTTAAGAAGGAAAAAGGAGAAGGAGGAACATGTTTCTGGATGAAAAAAATACATCGAAAAGGACATGTGTAATTATAAAACGATAATTGTTATAGAGGGAGGTAGGTGGTGGTGGCCCTTCTTAAAAAATATTTTTTAGAGCTTGATTACTTTTAATTGATTTGAAAGGAAAAAATAAAATTTATTTTACTTTTTTAAATTTAAGAGAAAACATATACAAATAATTAATTAAATATTATTCTTAATTGTAAAATAAAAAAAAAATTTTCAAAAAAAAAAATAAAATAAATAAATAATTTTTAAAAATTTATTTGTCTGTCTTAAAGCCAAAAATATTTTTTAAAAATTTCTTCCTTCATTATGCAAATTTAAACAAAAATCAATTCAAAAAATAAATTTTCTTTTGTCCATTTTTACTAAAAATTTATGCATTTATTTAAAAAAAAAAAGTTTTTCTTAAATTAATTTAAGATTCAAAAATTTATTTTTATTTATTTATTTATTCTCTTTAATTTTTTCAATTAATTTTCTACAAAAATTCTTTTTTATTTATAAAAACAACCAAAAATGGTAGAACAGTGTCAGAAACTGTTTTAAATTAATGTACGTAAATTGGCCAAAAATAAATAAATAAATTGCTACAAAATAAAGAAAAGCAGTTATTAATAAATTGAAAGAAAGAAGCACTTTTTTAATAAACCTGTTTTTTGTTTTTATTATTAAATGGAAATTATGAGAAAAAAAGAGAGAGGGAAAATAAAATTTAAATTAGTTAATTTTAGCATTAAATTAATTTTTAATTAATAAAAATACTAAAATTAAAAGTAAAGTTTTTTTTTCTTAATTTCAAAAATTGTTTGTATAAATTTATTGTGTTTTGATACATATTTAAAATAATTAAATAAATAAATCTTTTAATTAAAGAAAAACAAACAAACAAATAAATAAAAGTTTTGAAAGAATTAAAAAAAAGGATTTTAGTATTTAAATTTTAAATAGAAGTTAAGATATTTTTAAAATTAATTTTTATTCCTTTTATTTAACAAAAATTAATTTTAATTTATTTATTTTTATAAAAAATATGGGGTATTGTGACTTATAGCGGGTTTTTTGTTTCTGAACCGATTTCAACAAATGAGGTGTCATTCGAAAGAGCTTCAAAAACTGAGTCGAACTAGATACGGGGGAAGTCGATCCGACAATCAGGGACCGAGTTACAGACCCCTGAAGTTTGAAAAAGAGAAGGGGGGAGTAAGCTCATTTTGGGATGAAAAATTCGAAAATGCAAATAATAGCTCATTCGACTCAGCTCGACGAGCTGAGTCGAATGACACCATAATCACCAAAATCCGACTTGATTGGACAAAGTTATGATCGTTTGTTTTAGCTCCTTACCTATGGTCTCCATGGAGGTTTTTGCTGCTACGGAGGCCCCAAGTACGTCCAGAGCAAGGGAGATAGGCATAGGTTTATGTTACTGACCCAGACCCAGCGCCCGTAGACTCCCCGCGAGGCGCGTGCCGCAAAACCCCGCGCGAAGCGCGGGGTTTTGCACAAGCGCCTCGCCTACGCCCCATAGGTTTACCTTGACCGTTTTGAACCTGTTTATCTTGGCTCAGAATCAAGATATCGAGCTGATCTTGGTGTCATTCGACTTAGCTCGTCGAGCTGAGTCGAATGAGCTATTATTTTCATTTTCGAATTTTTCATCCCAAAATGAGCTTACTCCCCCCTACTCTTTTTCAAACTTCAGGGGTCTGTAACTCGGTCCCTGATTGTCGGATCGACTTCCCCCGTATCTAGTTCGACTCAGTTTTTGATGCTCTTTCGAATGACATCTCATTTGTCCAAATCGGTTCAGAAACAAAAAACCCGCTATAAGTCACAACATTCAAAATATGTAAATTTTTTATTTTAAGAAATGACAATTTTAATTAATTTATTAAAGCTATAATCGATTATTGAGCGATGGCGCAACGGCGAGATTTAAATAAATAAACACAATAAATAAATAAATAAAATTAAGGAAATGGGGCAACCAATAAATAAATACTTTTTTATATTTAATTTATTTGTTGTTGTTGAAGGGCTACGGGAAGTATTGGGGGGGGGGGGGATATACATAAAGAAAAGAAAATAAAAAGTATTGCGTGGAAGTTTTGTTAAATATATTTAATATTTATTTATTTATTAGTTTTTAAAAGAAGAAAATTTTAGAGTGAACAAAGACCGGTCAGGCGAGCGAGTATTTGAGGAGAGAAAAAAGACGAAAAAATTATTTATTTGGGGGGAAAGAAGTGATCGGGGCCTAAAGACTTTAAAGAAAAGAGAGCACCAATCGAGTGCTTTTTGCGGTAAAGAAAAAATTATTTTGGCAAGAGGGCCCCCCCCCTCCCCCCTCTACTCGAGGCCCCCTCCCCCTTGAGGCCCCCCTACTCTCGCGTAATATTAAATATATATTTTAACTTTTCTTTTACTTTTTATTTTTGTATTTTTTAAAGCATTTTGTGTGATTGCTTGGATTTTTGAGGGATTTTCTTTTGGTCAGTGGAGCGAGTTTACTTGCGCATTCGACAGGAAAACATTGAAGACGGTGATTCGGGGAAGAAGAAGAGGAAAAACTGGAAAAAAAAGAAATAATTGAAAATTTAAAATTGAATAGTTACATAAAAGAAGAACGTTAGTTAGTGATTATTTAATGCAAAAATTAATTAAATTTGGTTAAATTAAATAAAGAGACAATAATGGATAAGTGAAAATAAATTAGTGATGAAAGTTAAAAAATATTACGTTCTACCTATTATTTATAATTACCCACCCCTGGTTTACACAATAATTACAGTTGAATAAAACTGTATACTTATAAGGAGTTTCTTTTGACATCTAAAAAATAATCGAGTCAAGGAAATATGGGGGGGGGGGGATATTATGTATTAATCATTTAGTTTATTTTGAATTTAAAAGGTATTTTTGATGGCTAATTGAAATGTTTCGAATAATATGGAGAATAATAATAAAAAAGTACAACTTGGGGATAGTAAAGTGTGGATCATGGAGATAAAAGTAAACAATTTCGACTATTTTAAGTAAATATTCTTCTATTGGAGAGTTTTTCAAATTACTTTTGAGTAATTACAGATAATCTACAAGCTTTTTAGTTAAAAACTCTTTTTAGTATTTTAATTTAAGTAAAGGCTTTTCTGACTGGCCATCATCAATAAAGTAATTCTTCTGTCCATTCCTCCTCCAACTAAAAAGCAAACCATCCCCGCGCAAGTCTTTGCTCTGTTATAGTTGCTGTAAAGGGGGGCCCTTCTCAGGGGAAAATAGGAGACCGACCTTCTAACTCATCGATCGGTTTTGTAGGGAAATGCAAATAATTGTACATAAAACTGCTAAAAGAACGAAAAAAGGTAATATTTTGAAGGTGGAAAGGAAGGTTGGAAAGTTTAAAATTTAAAATTTAAAAAATTAAAT